GGATTTGTTCATTTCGTGATGATATCTTCAATTATCTAATAAATATTTTTGGTAAAGAGTGATTAAATGTGCATTGCTAGCAACGGAGCTATCTCAGCCGACAGGCTGCTTGTTACTTTTCGTATAATACAGTAGTCACACAATGAATATAATATTTGTTTATATTTGTCTCAGTGAATCATTAATTTTTGACAGACACCTGTACAAAATACTTGGACAAAAGCCAGCTGAGATTTTCTGGTATCTTGCATGTTTTATGAATCTATTCACGTCTGAATGCAGCACATTTTTTCTGAGATGAGGCATTTGTTTGTATAGTAAAATATGTGAATTACTTTTAATAAAGCTGGAAATTATGTCCCTTAAAATAATTAAACAAATTAGGCACCAATGTTTTTGTAAGATATTTACATCCTTTAAGGACATTTTGTAGACTGATTCCCCACTGTGGGTTCAACCCCAAAACTTGTTTGTATTCAAAATTAATTATGACAATGCATATTCATATTGAAACAAACTATGATAAAGGGAATAATATTATATAACAAAAGGCAAGGTCACCAGAGTTCAACTATGTTGTTCATATTTATTTGGTGGACGATGGTAAAGGATTTCACAGTTCAGATTCAAGAAGTATTTGTAATGATTCTTGGTACAAGTCTGCTCCAAAACAGCAACTATGATCAAGCGATTTATTCTTGATTTCAGTTCAGCCATCTGTTCTTCAGTAATACCGCACTCAAGCTCTGGTACCTCAATGCAGCTCTCGTCACTAGGAGCTGGCGACGGACCATCATAATCAGTTCCGTAATTTGTAAGCTCTGCCTAGAAAGCAATACAGTTTTATGAGTTCAAATATCATAGTGCACATGCACCAAAATTGCATTTAATGTAAGCATGCTCTCGGATAAAAGTAGTAGTATGAAAAGTATGAGGTTATTAAGAGAATAGTAGTATTGTATTGATCAACGCGTAGTGGAGGTCAATTCATTATCCTACTGTCAAGAGTACAAACTTTACAGTAAACCTTCCAACTTGCGCTTCTTCAACTGAAGTTAACTACGGGAAGTGTTTGAATGTAGCATAAATGATGCACAATTACCAAATGAGGAAGATATCCATAACACATTATACGGATGGGAAAATACTATTGTTTTTTATGTCAGATGTAAAATTTATTATGAACAAAATTATGATTTAATATAATACCTGATTTTTGAAGTCAAATATTTCTTCCGCTTCTGTAGTCCCGGAATTTCTAATTTTGAGTAAGCCAGATATCCAAAGCTGATTGGGTGATAGGTTTTGCTCTGCTGTTCGGATAGGATGATTGTCCCAGCTCTCGGCAAACAATTCTAAGTGCCTATTAATTCTTGGAATGTAGACAAAGTGAAGACAAAACATATGGATATCATTGTTTATATCAAGAAGACCTCTATCTTCAAGTGTGTAGAAGGTGTTGTAGAATAAATAGATGCTGCCACAAAACACATCCCGCCATAGGCGTTCAATACGCTGATTATGCGTACTCTTTCCAGTAATATGGCTCCCTCTTCCTGGTCCTCGATAAGGATGTGAGATCATGTGTCTTGCAACTTCAACATTCTCAAGGCCTTGATCTGACCGTACACGAGATGGCAGCCCATTTTCTGCTACTGCTGATTTAAAAGCCTCACATACAGTTATGGCTCGGTTGTTACTACTACATTGTAGATACATTATTTTACGTGAGTAGCCATCGATTCCACCATGCACCACCAATTTCCATCTGAAAAAGCAAACATCAAAATTTGTGGGGAGTAGAGTAGCCTAGTACACCTAGTACATAGTGCTTGATGACAGGATAAACAACAGTCAAATGTAGATGCAAAAAACACAGTGTGGTTTATTGCTTAACAAACTGGCGTAGAAACACATGTTACACATAAACAATCAAACGTGAAAGAAAATGTGTAAGCTGGAAATACAAATGTAAATTACGCACGAGAAAAAAGATACAATAATGAGTAAAATGATTGGCTGAAATTAAATGATTCCCATTGGTCCAAAATTACTCAGGAGAATCCTTTGTACGAAAAGATAAACAAATTACTACAATAACTGAATATTAAACGAATACAAATATATTCTATGAAGCTCTGACAAAATTAGCTTGGAAATGATAGCGTCTAATTGAACATGGTGAAAACAAGTAGTACTAATGATTGCTTGTTTTGATTAGCAGGTGGAAAGCAGCAGATCCAGCAGTTTGGTATGAGGAGACTGTGTATACAAGTAGCTCTCTAGAAGACGCACAAAATATTTAACCAAATCGTACACGGGCTATGGTAATGAATCTACATTAACATACCAGTTGCCACAATACTTGGATTTACAATCAATTTCCCCTAATACATAAATCTCGCACAAGTATGAAAACCGCATATGGTTTGATTCACGTATGATTCATGATACACATGTACCTATAATTTACACAAATGTTTATATATAGCAATTTTTTGTAGGAAAAATAGGGATCAACCTATTTCTTATTATTAATTATTATTGTTAAATTATAGGCATTTCAATTGCAGTATCAATATTACGCGACTCAAACCATACGCTATCTTTACACTCTAACTCTACCTATGATAGGAATTGTACTTTTAAAAATTGTCTATAACTTAAATTTGTTATGCAAATGTAATGTATGAAATTGAGATTATTGAGATACATGTTTTCTTCTATTTAATCAGTATTGATGTCAATATCTACTTTTTATTGCTGTTCTTTTAAATTGGTATTTACTTAGCAATCACTCTTCTCTCTCGTGTGCATATTAGATTGCTTATACTGACAATAATCCCATAACATTTTGATGTTTGCAATTTAAACATGTGATTATACAACACAAGCCTAAATTGCATAAAGCATACCATATGTGTACGTATAATTAATGAATTCATAATTAGAAGATAAAATGATACAATTGCAAACTGTGACCAAATGGCTCCTAGAAATATGCTCATTACATACATATAAATAAATTAGTTTTCTACTTACCTTATTAATTTGTGCAGTCCATCAATGTGCCAGAGTGAAAGGGGTGCATACACATTGTATGGTCGCCGCGGAGTTGAATAAATTTCAAGTGACCTCAGCAATACCCCCACAGGGTCAACTCTGTGCATACTCCCCCTCAACCTTCGTTGTTGAAGCCTTACTCCCTTGTTTATCAGAAAACCTGTCATTCTTCGGTATCCACAATTTGGAAAGTCTTTCAGTACACTATCAACCAAACCATCAAGCTCAGTGTCAGTTATGGTGGAATATGTGTCTCTAATACGAATATCAAATTCTCTCATGCGTCTCTTCACAGTTCTGGTACTCACACCAATTAACTCTCCTATATATTTCGTAGAAAAACCTGAATCAACCAAGTAGCGCAACTGTTCTTGGCTTATCAAGTATGGCGGTCTCCCTCTAGTATTTGACAAAGGACGAGTTTCAACCATGTAACCTTCGTAAATATCGCTGTCTAAAAATGCAAATAAATCCACTACAGCAATTACATTATCCAACACGGCTGTAAAACCTTCAATGCCGGCATCGATCATGTGTCCATTAACAACGGAGCATAGACGTCTTAGACTTTCAAGTCTAAAATAGATACTACCAGTGTCACATGGTGTATCGTGGATGGTGGCTGTTCGCAAAGATGATAATATGCTATCAATTGATGAGCTTACACAACGAAGAACATATGATACGGAACCGTGTTCAGCCATTTTATTTTCTTTGGTATGAGGTCAAAGGTTAATATTTGCACATAAGTGCACAAGAGCGCCACCAACTTTTCATGTTCAAATTGACCATGTTCAAATTTACCATGTTCAAACTGCCGATGTTAAAATATAAATTAAAATTGTCGTTTTAACGTAATTAATGTTCATAAGTTTCTTATAATTTTAAATTCTCATATTTTACCATTCATTCCTAATATTTTTAATTTAATTCCTCATTATTTAAATTTAAGTTCTCATATTTTAACATTCATGTATCATATTTTGAGTTTAATTTTTCAGATTTTAAATTTAATTTCTCATATTTTAACATTCATTTCTCATATTTTAAATTAAAATTGTCATGTTTCAATGTATTACGATTTTAATTTTGGCCCCAATGACACACCATACACGTCTACCTACGTTATACCCTGTTTTTATTAATAATTTCAACAAAATAACTCGAATACTTGTGAATAAATGAGGCACGATTGTCTTTATTATTTTATTTTCACTATTTTCGGTTTTTTGCTAGCGTTTCAAAGGGTTTCTTTTACGTGTCGATCACGAAAACGCAAA